TTGAGGACCGTAGCGCTTATCACGCTGCGCCAACCATCCAAAGCTTGCACGGAAAGGTGAGTGTTTCCAACGCTTTGCTAAAACGAGATGGCAGTGGCATCTACTCGTCGCCTTGCATTCTACACCTTATCACCTCTGAGGCGGGCGTGCACACCCGTCTTAGAGCCACGCGCTTTGTTTTTCACAAATCATCACATAATTTCACAAACATCAAATAAATGTTTTGCTCGCTCTCTCCACACGCAAGACTACGGTCTTTCGACGACATTTGCAGAATAAATGCAGATACGGTGCCAACTTTTTAGCATACTTTCTTTTTTTTTCACTCTGTCCCTTCACTCCTCATTCTCCCCTGAGTGCACGCTTTTGGGCGCACCTCGAGATCACAAACAGATACCACTGTTGCGGTTAAACTATTGCGAGGAGAAAAGATAGTCGCAAAGCGTTTTTATGGCGTGCGCGGGCGGCCCGGGGACAGCTTGCAGAATACAGCGCCATCAACCACCGAAGATGATTGAAGTGCAACGAAGAAACTGTTTCCGAACAGTGTACGCGAATGTAAGTTGCGAAAGGCTAAGCGACCTAACTTTTCTTTGCATTACCACATTTTTTCCTTCCCCCAAAAAAGTTTTCATAAAATTTGAACGCACCCCCTAATGAACACACCCTCCAATGAATTTGAACGCACCCCCCCCCCCCAACTTTGTTCTGATTTTTCAAGAAAAAAACGTGCACTAATTACATGAGTAATTATGGTACCTATGTATTGCATTGCACTAAATGTTCGATGTTTGTCTTGCTTTTTGTGCATTCCTTTGCCTATATATTGCACTGCTATAATTTCGGAATAAACAGTCAAAAGTTTGCGCTCTCCTAGACCTCATCCTTCATTATTTATGTACGCAAAATACCCAAAACTATGGCTTCTAATTGAACAAGAACAGATTAGCCCAATAGCATGCACTCCACTGCTTGCTCTCGCTGGTGAGGATCTTGAAGGAATTAAACTTGTTATGAAGCCCAGCAGAACTTTCAAGTGCGTCGATGAAATGTCTGTTCCACATTTCCGAATAAATGCCGTTGAAAAATACGGAGTGTCTGTCGGACACCAAGAACTCTTGAAGTTCAAACAAGAGACACGCCAAAGTTGCAAGTATGTATTCTGGACATTTTCTCCCAGTTGTAATGCGATATTGAACAATAAACTTACATTGTGCTTGTGAGCAACTTTCATTTTGCACATCTTGACTACATATCTGGAAAGAATCATTATAAGTGGAAAGCGCCACAGAGCTTTCCACTTATTTCTTTCCCCTCAGCACTACGTACAGCGTGTTTTAATTTGAATAACTTCATGAATGTAACATAACAGTGACGCCAAGATACAATGTCTGAAGTGTAACTGAAATGAATTATATTCCTATTAAAGGAACTTGTATTAAGAAGTCATTCAAAGTTTAGGAACAAAGGAGAATTAACAGAATGTGTAGGTACAACACTGGATTTCATGTTGATGTGGTAACTATGTGTTCTCATTGTAAACATGAATCAAGCCTTATCAGGAAAAATACTCTGCTCTTATATACTTTTTTAGCACTTAATTATACTAGGCAACAGGCATTTTTCAGAAACATATATGCAACCTCTTAAATAGTAAAATACTTCTTAGACTTAATGACAGGATGAGTGCACAGAAGAAAAGTGACAAATACAAATGCAGTGTTTACCATCTGCGTAGTTCATCTGAACATTAAAGCTAGCTATGCCAGTCAAGCATAGTGCATAGCTTCCTCCGACGTAACATTAACCTGGCTCCGTCCACAGTTAAATTATTGGCCTACGAAACGCTTGTTCGCCCAAAGCTGGAATTCGCGTGTGCAGTCTGGGACTTACCACAAGCTAACTCAAGTACCATCCTTGAATCCGTTCAGAACCGTGCGGCCAGATTCATCTTTTCCGATTATTCATACCACACAAGCGTAACACTTCTTAAACGTAAAGCTAAATTGCCAAGTCTCAAAACACGACGTACAGTAGCATGATTTTGCCTCTTCCACAAATTCTACAACTCGTTATCATGTGAAAGCCTCCACATAAAAACTGCTCACCACCCATCAAATCGCCTCAACCACTCAAAAGCAGTATACCCACCTCGTGCACGCACGACCGCCTATCTAAATTCATTTCCTGTTCTGACAGCCACCGAATGGAACAGCCTTTCTGAAAGTGTCGTCACCAAAACAAACCCGACTCTGTTCAAAGCTGCCGTTGAAAAACTTCTGTACTGATTATTTTTGTGTCATGTATGCGATTATCCTTAGTGGTGTTCTCTGCTTCGCTGGTTGGCATTGTATGCTTTTTATGCTTCGTTGGTATGCTTCGTTGGTTGGCATTGAATGCTTTTTATTAACAGAGCGTGCTTGATACCCTTTCGTGATACGCTCGTGCAGTTTTTGTTTTCTTTTTTGTGTTTGTTGATCAGTTGTGTAATTTTCGTGCTTCAACACCCCTCATGTAAAACCCCACTCTTTGGGGTCTTTGAGGTACCTGTAAATAAATAAATAAATAAATAAATAAATAATTACCCTAGAAAAGTGAAAAAAATGTCCGGCTTAAGGAATGATGTTCTTTACATATCCACAGCTATCTTTTTGTGAGCTCTTGTTTCTCTTGTGCTTGTATAAGTGACACCTAAGACCCTGAATTCATTATATGATTCTCAATGCACTACAGAATGTTCCGAAACACTTGAATACTTTTACATGCTTACTAAGTAAAATTCATTTTGGTTGAAGAGTGCAGGCGGGAGGAGAATGAAGAAAAAAATTCACAGCTTTGCCGCAAAGGCGAAGCATTGAACGCAATAGCAACAAGGATGGCAAGTAGATCGAAGCGTGCCCCGCGTTTCTCATGCACAAATAATGCATAAAACATACTCACAGGTACAGATGAACACGAATAAGCATCTCAGTTGTAACTTCGCTGTGTCTGAAAAGCGCGCTATTTTCGCAAACAGAGACTGTGCAACGATTGCAGTAACCTTTGTGCACCCGGTAACTACAACAGAAGCCTTCTGGAAAAAGCTTAAGGACAGCCAAGACATAAAATGCTCCCAACCCCGAGATAAAGGCGCACGAATGTGCGTTCAGGGGCTTTACAACTATCCACTTCTCTCCGCGAGACAAAGTACGCATGGGAGATGAAGGTGCGCGCTGCGACGCGCCACTGTGCGCTCGTTGCGCCATCTTGCTGTTAATGCTGAAAACACGATCGTTCTCCTACGAGATGCCTATCACTAGCGGTAAGTGGTAGATATAAATAGCTTTCTGTTTACAAGTTCAGGGATGTGCTCCTCTGTAGCTCAGTGGTTAACGCCTAGCACTCACAACACAGAGGTTCCAAGTTCGATTCCGCGCGCTGGAGTCTTTATCTAGATTTTTCGCTTTCTTGCATTTTCATAAATATATATACGTATACATATACAGTGAATGACGCCGACACCAGCAGCAAAGTCTAGCCGAGTGTGTCCACATAATAGCTATCGTAATAAAAAGAACACAAACAAGCGATTCGTCGTCGTCTCGCGTGCGCTGTTCAACCAAAATGAACCCATACCAACTCGCTCAAGCTTCCATTTTTATCAAGTAAAACTCAATTCTTATACACCAAAATGCGCAGCTTTATTTGTGTGTGTTCTATGCGTATCTTAGATTTCGGACCTCTTTCTTTCATTAAAATGACTATTGTTTGAATGTTTATTCTGCATGGAATGTACTTTTGAGTGGTATTTATTTATTTATTTATTAGAATACCCTCAGGGCCCGTAGGGCATTACAGAGGGGGTGGTATAAGCTGGCTTCTGAAGGAATGGTTCCATACCAGTTTATAAGCAAGCAGACACATCCATTAATAATTGTGGGGAATGCTTTGCCACCAAAGCCAAAACATGCAACAGTGAACAGACTGGTAATGTGCTTGCTGTGTTGCATGTAACCATAGAAGACTGACTTCATTTTTTTTGCTAAAAGGGAAAATATCTCTAACTTAATAAGCAATATAGATGGCAATTGCAGCATCTAAAAAATAACCTCTACCAATTCCTGAAATTATACTTAAATTTCGAAACCCGATGTATTTTAAAAAAATTGTAAAACCCAGAGCAAGTGCCCTTTCTTCTTTTTAAGAGATTCCAAAGACCCACGACTGAGCAAGCCGCCCCCTCATTTCTTTTCAACCGCGACAATGTACGGCAGCAGCAATTCCTGTGTACCAAAGTTTCCTGAATAGTGCCCGATTTCCTTGAAACTATGCATACAGTGTGGTGCCTTAGAGTTACCCTCTGAAATGTAACAAATTGTCGGAATGTATGATGCACGTCTTCCTCTCTTGTAACGACACAAAATTTCACACGATAATTTACGCTGGTTTAGTAAAAACAGTGAATGAACAAAATATTTCATTACAAGAACTTCTCAGTGGCTCTTCCAGGACCGCCTTGAATTTAGGTTCACAACCGAGCAAGAGACCCCCTCCAAATCTTGTCCGATTATCTTTCATCATAGCTTCAATGCTAGCAAATGCATTGCGAAGCAAGAACCATGAAAACTCGTGCAATATAAATGAAAAAGAATATGCAAGCTTGCTTTAAAAATTCGACAAGGTAGATAAGTATTATGTGCAGTAACTTTAACAATGCGAGCAGACAAACACTATTACATTTTTGAACATAATTATATTGCTAAATGCACTGGGGTACCCGGCAAAATTATTTTTATATAAAATACACATGTAAATTGCACTGCCTCTGCATAGCACATAAGGAACATGCGAGTGAAAAAAAAGCACGTAAACGCAGTATCACACAGAACAATCTCTATACTCATGGTTGTATGTAACAGTGCAACAACTGTAGGAAGAGACAAAATGGGCAGGACAGAGCGCTGATATTTCATCTTCACATCCTCTTTTTAGCACAAAGATGAAGTACCAGTTGCCACTTATAGTTTTTGCAGCAAAGTCTGGTTATCTCCAGACAAAAAATGTTTTTATTGATAATTTTGCCGCTTGCCATCAACTGCAGGCATTACAAGTGCACGCTTATGTTTAACAGTACATTAGGAGAAAACGATTGATAATAGGAGCTCAAGACATCCCTAGACAGGAGACATCAGCAATGAGTCCATTGCCTCACTTGCGAAAAGGATGCCACTGTTGAGTGGTAGAGCACAAGCGTAATGTAAACTCTCGGGACAACCATAGTATGACGGTACCATGCGTATAAAAGTTCACACAATTTTAAAAATAAAACTGTTGTAAGTTCACACTTCGTGTGTCTGGCCACATTTCTCTTCTGTTGGTGTCTCAATCCCACAACTTTGTGCATTCTAATATAATGCTCCACAGGTAAGACATAGAAAATGCACAGTCAGGACTAAGACGCCAAATTAATAGCAACTGCAGGACAGTTTTGTGGCGTGTTTATTACATGGAAAATTCTCAACATACTGCATAGTGACAACCTAAACTTACTGCTTCTGAAGAAAGAAAAATTCTCAAGTTTCTACAAAGCGAGGCAATGAATGACACGTCCTCCTCAGCAATTTATTTGTACAAAAAGAACAATGCAAAAATGTCTGCTAACAAGAATATTCATTAAAAATCCCCATTTAATTTTTTTGACAGATCCAAACTTCAGCAGTCATTTCGTCGTAAAGCCAATGTGGTGCCAAGTATAGGCAAATGAAGTTCCCCTCACTGCAATGAACACTCATAATTCTCTTTAGGTGCCTGCTTTTTATTTTTCTAGCTTAAAGAGATGCTAACTGCACACTTTATGTACAGCAACTGTGGTCACAAATGTGCATATGAGTCACTTCTCAAAATACATACATTGTACTAACAAGCTACATGTACCTAGCTTTGCATTAAGCGGCCTACTTACTGTTATCTCCTACAGCTCACGCACGGTGTACATGGCAACTTCTCAAAAATATAGTGAGTGCGACTACACTGCTTTATTTATTTACAATGTACAAGATAAGCCAGAGTGTTTGTCTTGTGGGGAGGCACTGTCTGTGCATGTTTTTCACTGTTTTCACATCTGCATTCTTCGCATACAATCACCATGGCAATGACAGGTTGTTAATGCAATGATATGTTCTCAATAATCTCGCTATTCACGATGCCCAAGAACTAAAAGTGGCTAACTGCAAAAATAACATGGCGCCCAAAGGAGGTTCAGCTCGTTTGCTAGCTTAGGAGCATATAGGACATGTGGACGCACGGACCGTGTAACTTTCACCAGACAGTCATGAGGCTGCACTGAACTGTATATGAGGCCTAAGACACTTTCTGAAACCTTGGAAGCTCGCCACTTGTTTATTCGCCGGGGTGTGAAATATTATATTTCAGCTCCATTACCATGCATGAACGACGCTTTGCGAAACCCTGTGCGTGCTACCGAAAACTGCACAAACTAGAACTTATGTATGAACTTAATGGCCCTCCGAGGTCCTATATACCCAGCCTGCCTGACGAATTTGCAGCACTAGTAGGCTGCTAACGAGTAGCACCATTGCTGTTTCATGGCTTCGAATGTTCAACGTGGTGATGGTTGGCAAAGATATTACGTCGTCATTATACCTGCACTGTCCGGAACATGGAGTTGATTATTCAATGAAACAGAAGCATCTAACATCCCAGCACTTGCGCGATTCACAGCATTCGAATGTTGCATGTTCGATCAGCGCAATCGAAATATGAGTATCGGAAAGAATACACACATATGCTTTTTCTAACTTCGAAATTGCAAAAATTTATTGAACAACAACACCATTCGAAAGGTACCAGTAGTACAGGAGAAGTTATCAAAGAGGTGTGGATTGTAGCCGTAACTGCACGAGTCTCACCATTTCGCTTTCCTCGAGCGTGTTGATGGCATGCGGCGCTCCATAACGTTCACAGTAATTGCACTCGCTCCTCATGAGTGTTAACTGCTAATCGTTCATTGTCGCTGTCACTCTTGATGCGTTCACAACTTTTATACGTTTAGTGAAAAATTCTCGTCATTAGGTTGGTTTCGTTCAACATACCTGCTGAAATAAGTTGAGGAATCCCCTCCGTCGAGCGATTTCGGCAACACCAACAATACCGCGTGACTATATTGGTGAGCATTTAGACAATTTATCTCTGAAGCTCGTCAACGAGCAAATCGCTTGCAGTGTGCTGCCATCTATCCACAAATGTACAAAGACAAGCCTCGCAGTGCTGGCCTATTTGAGATTGCTCAGTCAGATTTCCTCGAAGAGCGAATCCCGAGCCCTTGCAACTTTACGCGTACAATGTTATAGAATTCTTGTACTACAAAGCACTCAAAAAGCCTATATGCAAATAAAAGAAGGTGAGCTTCAACTGAAAGGGTCAGACAATTACACTTTCCTAACCTACGTGGCTACAGAAAACCGCATGAAGCTGATATGTGTACTCTGTCAGCTATCACCGTAAGCATGAGTCTCCACGTACTAATACGAAAACTTCGCGCCTCGCAAGAAGAAATCAGATTCCGGTTTACTTACTGATGCAGGAAATGAAAAACCGGTAGTGTTCGTTTTTTGCTAACATGTTAACATTGAGGTTAGCACAGGGGAGTGACTGCATTCTGACCATCCTCGGGAGACGACGCTCCTGAATTCCGCTTGGCAGCGTGACAGGCTATGGGCATTGCGAATGTAATGCAAGCTGCTATACTGATGAACAGGATGGCTAACTTAAAAAAAAATAGGGTGCCGATCATTATGATTAAAACTACATACAAACAATATCAGTATGTGGATGGATTTCAATGAAGACTGTCTACTGCGACATTATGTGAGTTTCTCTTCCCTTAACCACAACAACCACCTTCTGTCAAAACAACAACCTGTTTCACATATAGGTAATCACAGGAAAACATGTCTGCCATGACACGCAGTTTTTAAGCTTTTTACAGATTTGTTGCAGGTGTGATTGCAGCCACATTTATCTGTACCCTTCTTACACATATGAATTAAAAAAACAAGGTGCCTTGATAGATAAATGTACAAAGCATTGGAAAATTATCAGCACTATGCGTTGGATTCAGCTGCCTCCTTTGCATTCGATTACCGTGGGTATCAAACAATGCACACACCACTCGCATGCACTAGTTACTTTTTCATCAACAATGAAACCAGGCTCAACTGCAGCAACTTAAAAAAACACTTGGAATGGCATTATTTTCAACGGCAACAGTGAAACATGTGCTTGCAAAGCATGCATACTGAATATTTACACTTTATGCATTCGGTATATGACTGAATGGAACGAAATTCATCATTAACCCTCCTACCACTGAAAAAATTTCAGCACATGCCCCAAATCGCGCAGTAACCTAGTTGATTCCCAAAAAAACTCACGGAAAGACAGATAGTGGTTACAGGCTTTTGGCACGGATGAATTGTCCACCATGCTTTCACGTCGTCCTGCTGGAGCTGTGTGCCGCCTGCTTCAAAGAGGATGATGTAGCCGTTCTTGAGGTGGCCTTTTTTAAATGTTCCTGATACCTAAGGCAACAAATAAGACACATGTGATTGTCACAAAACGTATTCTACTAAGTAAAATGATATGACAATAACAATGAATCAACATGACAACACAAGTAGACAAGTATCCTACACAAAATGACCCTGTGTACATCTTAATCACAAAGGCATGCTGACGGATCCGAGGTCAGGTGCGGCCTTTGCTTCTGCTCACGAGTCCACGGCCGTCAGCGTGTATCAACATACCAAATAGGCTAAATTTCCACTTTATTTACACACAGAGCACAATTTGCGATTTCTATGCTTGGCACTTACAAGAGGTTATCTGTGGTGCTTAAAGCCAGGGGCCCTGAAGGTTTGGGCATCAGAACAAAACTGCGAGAAACGAAGAAGAAAACCCGGACTCGATTGTCTGGCTACATCGAACGTAAATGGAACAACTGAGTGAGCCAGCGCCCCTGGGTCGTTCTCCCGCCCGCCGCCCCTTTTTCCTCCTTCATTTGCAACACCCGGTACCCAATACACATTTTGAAGTGCTCAGCTATAGGCTCAACTGTAGCACCTCAGAGCCCATCCAACAAACAGTGGGGTTGAATTTTTACATGCGAAGCATCTTATGGTCGAGGTCGATCCAATGTGCTGCACAACCACTCATACTGTGCATGCGCGTCCCCTTCCCCTCACACTCCTCTCCTACGCCCTACCCTCTTTCACCTCTAGGCATTCCTTTCTGCATTGTTTACACCCCCATTATGCATGTGCGTCCCCTCCCCTCCCTCCCCTCTCCAACACTCCTTCTCTCTCACCTTGACACTCCAACGCAGGCAGTGTCTGCTAGTGGGTTTATTCATTAAAAAACCACCCGCTCGCATTGCACAACCATTCACTAGCCACGTTGCACATATAGGCACAGGATCTTGACCTCTACGGTAGTGGCGGTGATAGATTTCTCCTGTGTGTTGTTGAAAAATAAATATTCACAGCATGTGCGTTAACTAAAATCAGACTGAAGGTCCTTGTGTCCAATTGGAGTCTTCTGTCTCCCACTGCCCATTAGCATTAGCAGCAATTGGCATGGGGCTCCCAGGTTTCTCTTTTGCGCAATGCCGCGATGAGTGCAAGTGTCAACGTCACCATTAGTGTAAGCATTAGAGCCTGCTGCTTTGCATGATTCCCTTTAGTGAGAGATGGTGCAATTTACTTTACAGCAGTGACTTCTAGAGGATATTCTCACTCTCTAAATTTTCCAAATAATGTTTCGATTGCAATTACAGTAGGCTCTGGTTAAATAGAACCTGCAGAGGCCATGAAAATATGCCCCACTTAAACGGAGAGATGATCAAAAGTGGAGAATCCAGGTATGAAACCAATCAGGTTGGAAGCAGTCGTTCTAGTATTTAAGCAGCAGTTCTGTTTCACAAATTTCTGCTAACAGAGAGTCTACTGTGTTCACGAGCAAAGCAAGAAAACTGGTGTTGTAGGACTACTCCATGTATTTCTTTGAAACTTACAATAACGAGGAGCAGAGCTACCAGTTGTAAACCTACTACTCATGAACAGGTGTGCAAACATGAACACAAAAAGGAAAAGAAGTCAAAACACGGCAAATGCACACTAACAAGAGAAGAGAAACACATCGGCGCAAAGAAAGAAGGCACACAAAGAAATATCAAAGGACGCTTGAGCGTCACCTTCAAGAGAAAATCCTGATTGTGCTTTGTGTGCCATCTGACCTGCTACCTTGCTTCGATTCTCAGAGCATGCCTCAAGTAACAATGCCCATTTCAAAATATCATTGAATGCTTATTGCAAGCACAGTTGTTATGTGCCCACTACGCCATAAATATTCCTTCTGCGAATCACCAAAAAGCCCAATACTCATCTGTAGGGCAACATGCAAACCTGCGTAACTGTTCGCTCCTGCTGTTGAGAATGATTAATTATGTCTAAGCATTTTGTAATAGTTGGACATTTTAATCACCCTAATAATACTCAATTCATATCTTTTCATGTCAGGGGTAATTCTAGGCACTTCTAGACGTGTTAAAAAAACTCCTTCTATTATGTGACATTCATAAGTGTTTCTTTTCAAGAAGGTTGAACAAATCTTGTGACTCTGCAATTGAGCAATTCCTTGCCACACAGACGGCCAGAGTTCAATCCTCACTCGAACCTGATAATTTTTATTTGTTTTGTTTGCGTCACTAATGATTTTTCAGCCACGGACAAGATGACTATTTTTCACTGACAACCAATGATGACACAGACGCTGCGGCCAGAATCCCTGCGAAACGAGCTCTTCAAAGAGACACTAAAGGCAAATAACAGTTCATGTCAGAGTGAAAGCTCAATGTATGACGTCTAAACTCACAATATTGTGACGAGGCGAGATCTAGGTTTATAGTATAGCATCCACAGAGATTCGGCAGCCGAACAAAAATTGTTCATATTGCTTCAAACAAAGAGTAGAGTGCAAATAACCAATTAGGAAACACATACAAAATATGTATTACGCATGAAAAATAATGGACGTAAAAAGTCCATATTTCATCTACCCTAGTAAAGGTATACATACAGTTTTTTTTATTACACAATAAAATATGAAATTTAAACTAGATAATTGCATTTGTCATACTTTAGAAAAAATTCGGCCAAATTTCATGCAGATCTGAGCACTAGAAGTGCCCGAAAAAAAGAGGAGCACATTAGAAAAAATGGCAAAATTTGTGTTTTGAGAAAAACAAGCTTTAAAGTTAAAATTGAGTTTTATTTATGAAAGACATCATTAAATCTGATGAAATTTGCACACCGAAAAGAAAAATTCTTCTTGTAGTGGCCACTGCGACTAAAATACGCCAGCCCCATGAGTTTGTCCCTCTGGGCTTTTCGAGCTGACTCCTCACAGACATTTCGCTCACAGACAGGGCCAAGAAATGCTTGCCAAATTTCCGCTCCATCTGGCAAAGCCTTGTGCCAACTGCAAGCTAGCAAGAAGTTTGACAGGACTGCAAAATCCAAACTAAGTCCAGCGTCATGCTATTTTGTGCCATGTTTGTGCTACATACTGTCGTACATAATGGCAATGCTCGCCCCTGCTGAGTTCTCTCACTGCGAGCTCTTTCGACATCTCAAGATTGGCGCTGACGTCATCCATTGTCGCATCACGAACTTTCCGGCTGACGGGTGTGAATGACTTTTGATGCATTGGCTTTTGCAAGCCAACAACTGCCGCAAATTGGACCAGCTGCTCGTAGCCTATTCCTACAGCTAACGTGGTTGCTTGGGCGAGTTGGTATGACATGATTTGCATAAAAAACAGCACCAATAACGAGGGACAAGAAAAGAAGGAGACAGACAGCGGCACTGACCGGACAAGAAAAGAGAGCCTTCGGCATTGCATACGGCGTAGACGTACATGGCATCGATGACACATGGCTGAATGGTGAAACAATTAAAAGAGCCCAATGTACTAGAAATGAAAGTAACTAACGTGGTTGCTTGGGCGAGTTGGTACGACATGATTACGCTAGCGTTACTTTATCTGGTCAATCGCGTTTCGTGAGTGTCCTGGCACAATGAGTATGTAACTTATGCCGCGGTTTAGGGTTAGATTCTGCGCGCCTCGATCCCTGGATTGATTGATGACACCAACCTAACATTGACACGAACTACAAGTGGCCACTTAACATGGCCTGCATTTTAGTTGAGTGCTGCATAGTTGCTTAATTCTCGCTAAAGTTAGTTCAACAAAGAAAATTTTCAGGCTGGTCAGACATTCGGCACACCATTGTGCGATTTCAGCAAATTTTATGGTTTTGGCGCAGCTGAGACGAAAAAAAGGGAAATGTATCAAAATGGTGCAGCTGGTGCCGCTATTGCACCCCTGAAACTATCATGTAGTTAAGCTGACAAAGAGCTTCAGTACCTGAACAGACTGAGTGATTCTCAAAGGTCACGAGCTAGGCATCACATAACACAGACTTAACTCTTTCGTTACCGCACAAATATAGTTATTTTTCGTATGTCCCTGGAAGATCGTTTTCGCCACTTTGAAAAGAACTAAAGCATGTATTGTGTCATAACAACTTTTGCACAATGAAATGCTCTTTCCAAAAAACATATGTTTAAGAGCAAAAAAAAATTTTGGAAAGAATAAAAATGTGAAAAGTTTGCAATTTTTGGTTGTTAACTGGTAAACATTACAATAAAAAAGGCAGCTTCTCCTGCGCCGCGCGGTGCAGCAGCCAGCCCCACACAGAAGTCGCTCCTGGGCCGCACAGAAATGATGTCGCTTTAAAGATTATCACTTAAAGCTATTTGAATGTATAAATTATTAATGTATAATACGTTAAACCTTCAAAGACATTACTAATCAAGTGTTTGATGAGCCAATTAGTTTATATTTGTTAATTAAACACATATTACAAGTATTTTAAATACAGGGGGTGCCATGGGTGCTGTGGCTGTGAAAGGTAAACAGTGCAAGACGGTAGCTGCCTGCGATGTGCGTTGGTGTAAAAAACTCCGACAAAATCGTGGCCATGACCTAGGCCACCCCCAAAAAGGACCAGAGACCTTGTGTCGTCGCTGCTTCATGTGATTCCTAGATGCCCAGTTAAACCTGGAAGTCGGAGCTAGCGCGGCTGTCCACTGCACTGCAACTTCATCTGAGTGTGGGCGCCATAAAATTTCACAGTATGAAGTGTGGATTATTGTTGTTGGACATACTGCATTTTCTAAACTTCAATGCCAAGGGTTGTGTTGTCTAAGGTGAAAGTGTCCTTGCTGCCGAGTTTCCCTTGTCGCGAAGGGCTAGGTCGACGATGAAATAAATGCTTTTGCACAGTTCACGTGTGACTGACCAGACGCACAAGCATGAAAACCAACTGAGTCAGCAAAGTTTTCTTACGACGGACGGAAACAACTTTATTGTAGTGTTCTTACGAAGCATGTGATCTCCGAAGGCCAAAGCTACTATATTGCAGGCTGTTTTGTTAAGTATAAATGCAAAGATAAATGCA